TCTTGTCAGATGCCCTCGGTTTCTGGCACTCACCATCAATGTCCCCGTCCCACCCCACATGACACTTGCAAGTATGGACGCTTTGGTACCAATATGAGCGACAAAACGAAATTTGCGATACCTACTTTCTAGCCTCCTTATCAGCTCTTGCCGATCGTTGTCAGTTTACATCACTCAGCATTTGTGTCCCATCCACGTACACACACACCAGCAGACACACCTAGCCGATTATACAGGGGTGGCCAAAAAAAAAGAGACACTTCACTCCACATTCAAAACGGAAGTCTTCACGCGTCGCGAAATCAAACCAAATGACCCCAAATGAATATTGAAAAGCACGATATAATCTATCAACAAGCTACACAACAGCGTTACACTGACAACATCAGAAAATTTTCCCAATAAAGCATTGCGCACGGTACGAGCTCATCGAGGTCGTCGAGATACCATAGACGATTACGACGTCTCTGAAACGCTGGTCAAAAGCGATTTTGCACAGTCACAGCTAATGTCTCTAGGAAGCTGTTCAACAATTGATTCACTGAGGAAATACAAACCGGAAAAACAAACCACAAACCCTAACCTGCTCCTGTTTTCGGATAAACACCTAAGGAATATTCCACCGTGAAACCTTCATTATCACCGGCTCCCTGTGCGACGTAACGTTCGATGATGTGCGGCATGGGCTACGTGTCTCTATTTTTTGGCCACCCCTGTATATACTGTCCATATCTGGCCGGTTGAGGGGGGCGGTCCTACGGACTCTCTAGCGCTGCGGCGCAACTGCGCCGCAATGGAACTTTGCCGTTCGATAGCGAATCTTTGTGGTGAAGACGAGTGGCCGGCAATCCGTCTTGTCGTCTGCACCCCTTCGCATCCACGCTATCTCAGCAGTACGACAGCCTTTCCGTCTGTGTTCTCGCCACTTTTCCGTCTGCGCTCTCGCCACGTCTGCCGATCAATCGGAATTTATCAGCTGTTTAGAGCAAAATTCAATAAATTCTGCTAATATTCCTTATTGCACGCTTCTTCTTAACAGGTAAGTGAGTTTCAAAGATGCTAGTCTGCTTCCACATGTTTTGTGAATGAATTTATGTCACCAGTTGCCCCATTTGTAGCAATTATGAGTATTTTGTGTTGTTTCCCTTAATTTTTTAAAAATCGCTTTCTATTGACCTCCATTTTCCTAGCTTTGTCATGGAAATGTTCCTGTCAATGCTGAAAATCACAGGGACATTTCAATGACAATGTCATGAAAGTGAGTTGAATGTAAGAAAAAAAATAGGGAAACGTCACAAAACAAGCGTAATTGCCAATAATGAGGCAATAATTGACTTAAAATCCTTCAAGAACATGTAGAAGCCAATTATGATCTTTAAAACTCACTTACCTGTAAAGAAGAAGCCAGTTAGGAATATTAGCAGAATTTAGTTAAATTTTGCATTAAAAAGCTGATGAATTTCGATTGATCGGCAGACCTGGCGAGAGCGCAGACGGAAAGGCTGCGGCGCACTGCTGAGATAGTGTGGATGCGGAGGAGTGCAGACGATAAGACGGATTGCCGGCCACCCGTCTTCACCACTAAGATTCGCTATGGAACGGCAACGTTCCATTGCGGCGCAGTTGCGCTGCAGCGCTAGAGAGTCCGTGGAACCGCCCCCCTCAACCGGCCAGATATGGACTGTAGTAGGATAGCATCATTCAAAAAAAAAACATTTCACCCATTAATCTGAAGTCTCATTTAAGATATCTTCTTTCTGTTGTAAACACCATTTATTAGAATAATATCTTGTTGATATCAACTGGTAAATATAGGATTAAACACATAGATGTTGTTGGTCGCACTAGAAAAAGGATGGTAGGTAGAGGTGGCCATTCTAAGTGATGTGTACCACCTGAATGCGTCCTCAAACGCTGATTTTAAAGGAAGCACTCACGCTGGCTTCCACGCTGGATTTGCTATCCTCAAGCGTTATCAAATCGATAAGGTGTGAGGCAGTAATTCGTTTGGACGAGTGTAAGCCCATGAAGATATGATACCATGAGATAAGAGGTGCAGCTGCTTGATAAAGGTAGTCACTCGAGAATGACGGACGAAATGATAACGTATCATATCTACAGCAGCGCTCTTATCGCACCCCACTTTCCACATCGAGATAATCTTGGTTTTGCGGATGAACTTTGAGTGAATTTCGGCTCCTTATCACTTCTGATAAGGGGGCCATTGCCAGCTGAAACTTACGTGTTCTAACATGGGCAGCGAACTCTACCCACGTCCAATTACATAGCTTTCCTTATCGTTGCCATGAAAATTATCGTGACTGCTTCCTTTAAATGTTTCAGCGTTTTCAACAATGAGCTCACAACTACAATCCCTGTGGGCAAGAACATGCTATTCACGGAGCTTCATCGATGAAGGTAATTTGTGGCCCCAATCACAAAAAGACGTTCCTTTTGGCGTTTTGTTATTACTTTTTCGATATTTGTCGCCACAATTTTCTGCTCACAACATTAAAAACTTAACTACAGGGGTTACTGAATCCTACGCTGACAAATACACCGTTCAGGAACGAGAAGGCATATTCGTAATGAGGAGCTTGGGAATAAACCCAGAATGTAAGTTTCTAACGAATTCAGCAACCAGGTAATATAGCAAAAAAACTAGTGACCAAAAATGTATTTTAAAGGACTTTTCTAATGGTACTGTGGGTTTTGTTCAGAACACTTAATCCTACTTTTCAGGGCGTTACCACAACGTGCTTAGAGAGCTAATTAGCATGATTCCCTTTCCGCTCCAAAGAAGTTGGAAAAGCTCTGCACGCAAATAGTAATGTCAAAAATGCAATTTATTTTGCTATTTGATAAATGATTCGGGGATTCATTATAAATGTTCTGTGAAGTAGTGGGTTATAAGTAGGTAGAGCTTCTTGAAGATAACAAGGATGACGGTTAGGAAAGTCAAGAGTAAGTAGATTTGTACGTTCCAAATGTTGGAGCAACAAAAATGTCCAACTGACTTTACCATCAGCTGGTCCTCGCATCTCATTGCATGGGATAACTCGCATTCAAAATATCATACGTCTCTGGATGAAATATACTCAATATCCGATAGTTGGTGTAGGTGTGGCACCGGATGTGACGTGCATTCGATAGAAGTTGCGTGGATAAGCTGTTGCCAGCATACATCGCTGGATATTAGCAAAGCATGCTGGAAGCAGCTCATTCACGCAAATTCCATCAAGTGCACGTCAATTCTGGTGCCACACCTACCCCAACTTTTGAATATCGACTGTAGAATGTAGCCATCCGATGTTATACTTGATATCCGAAAGTTGGGGTAGGTGTGTCACTGGAAGTGCTACGTGGATAAGCTGCTTCCAACATTCATTGCTGGATATCAGCAAAGCATGCTGGCAACAGCTTATCCACGCCACTTCTATCAAATGCACGTTACTTCCGGCACGCCTACCCCAACTTCGTATATCGACTGTACGTATTTCTCCCACCCAGCGCGGGTGCAATAACGTACCGCAAGTGATTACAGTACTCCCAGGCCTAGTTCTACTGGTGTTGACATTATTCATAGCAAGCGGACCAGCACTCATCAGGAGTCCTAACATATGATGTAGATGGTGGGACGAGAACATATATGTGGGGGGAGGGGGATAGAGTAATATGACAGTCGATCAGAGGTGATGTGAACAAGTGGCTTTAAAACGGAGAGGTCATTGAAGTTGTTACCCACATGCGCGATAAGGAAACATTCCATTTCATTCGCGACGTCGTGACCAATATTTGAATCTTTTTGACCGCTAACCTCCCCAATCTTCACAAAATGGTCGGTGTTCATGGAAGCATTATATGCTCTTGGATGTTTTTATTTCATTATCATCGCCACCAGAAGCTAATTCATCCGCTTAACCTTCTCAGCATCCGAACCAGGATAGCTGTTTACGCTAATGACAGTAAGCTGTCCATGTGACTGTGTTAGTTTTCCAGAGCTTATTCGGCTGTTAGACTATGTTTGTTGTCAAAAACATGGATGAAACTGATGGTTGGTCATGGGCTATGATCATCCATCAGTTTTTGACAACATCTGATTGAAGAACTACAAGCGCTAAAGCCTACTTTGATACACGCACGCGGTAGCGAGCGGAGTTTAACAGGTCAAAGTATAACTAACACATTGACGACCGCGTGGTATGATGTCATACCACACTCGGCCACGTGGGACCGTGTGACATGATGTCATGTCACAGTCTTTTAAGCCGGCTTTCAAACATTTTAGGTAACTTATTTACGTGATGCATGCGCCATACTTAGGCATTGTTACAAAAGGCGTGGTCCCTGGAAAGGAGCTTCGGTTGATGGGCTATCGAGTTTTACTAAAAATGTTTCAATAACGATCAAATCACAGGAATCGCTAAAATGGCCAAAACCCCATAATCGGAGACCTACCACACAAGAAAGATAACAATGCACACTTCCCGGGAAAAAGGAGTTCTCGTGGGACCGTGTGACATGACGCCATGTCACACTCGCGCGGTCAAAATAATGCGCGCGGTCCAACACGCCAGACAGCGAAATATAGCGCGGTCGTCAACGTGTTAAATGAGTTTTAGTTGTGAGAGAGTTTTTCATTGCCTCTCCTTGTATGTACACCTCTCCACTCGGCACTTTTCAGATTTTTTTCTTGGAAAGAGAGCTCCACCCGGCGCTATCATCGCGATTCACCTCCCTCTCGCTGTCTGACCCTCTATCCGCTTAGCGGAGAGAGCTTGACGATGAAGAGGGGAGCACCGATGAGAGTGGCTGCAGAAAGAGCGGGCGAGTAAAAGTCCCATTGCTTGGGTTCTGGGCCTCTCATGGTTATTTTTTCATCCCTGCACATTTGATCACCTCTACCCTTATTTCTGATGAGCCGCCTTTTCATCGTAAAACCTCGAATGCTAGGACTAATTTCTGCACATTTTTGGCATATGCGCGAAGAGCGCGCTAGCTCATATGAAAGCAACACTGGTGCAAGTAAACCGTACCGCTGGGTCCCAGTCGTCTGGTAAACATTCTGTGAGCTCGTTTTCCGGTTCATTAAAAAAGTCATTAACGAATTCACGAAGACGCTCAGTAGTCACTGGTCCAGCAGCTCTCAGTGCTTCCCAACGCACAAGAGTAGTCTCTGAAAAAAAAAACTTGCTTGACGAAAATACAGCAAAAACTTAATATTCAGAAGCGGTCTTTCAGCTAGCTGGCTGCACTAGATGTAGATGGTTGTCCTTTGTTTCATGTGTATCTAGTGATATGCATGTTACCATGTTGTTATATAATTCGAAATGAAATGAGAGCCTAAACATCTCAGAAATTGCGGGTCACTAAAAAGTGGTACGATTCCTGTTTCTTTGCACCTAATTAAGGATGCCTCGCTCCTAGGTGCAAAGCAGCCCTAATTGAGTGCGAAAACCCTCGAGCGGTAGAGCCCCTACTACAGGAAATCAACAAGTGTGGGAATGAAAAAAAAATCTCTGGATGAATATACTAGTATTTCACAATACCCGAAGTTGACAATGTTATGATCGACGATCAGCTCATAGAACATATTGCACTATTTTATCTAAGTTCGTTATTTATCTTGCAACGGAACTCCATAATAGAACAAGTCCGCAGTCAGGCTCCGGTCCTATCATAAGAGCTTGCACGCAATTTGAGTCAATGCAACGACCTCATGTCTTCATAAGCAAATAAGATTGTCATATATCGAGTGGTTCAGCCTTCTTTTCGAAATTTTGATTTGTTAGCTTTATGAGTGCACCGCTAATGGAAACCATATCGTTCAGAAGAAAGCTTCCAACACTCAGTTGCGGAAAAGGGGACTGCCTGTGACGAAGGATGTACGGCAATCTTATTCCGCCTTGGTTGCTTCAAAGTTGGAATAATATCACCAGACCCTGTTTGCGTGTGCCACTTTGTTACAAAGTGATTCAGCAGAGTTTGGAAAATGAACATGATGATAAAAGCTAGTCCTTTCGACATTGATCCAACTTTTTGTGGTAGACCATGCTCTATTTCCAGTCAGGGTAGTAGTGGCATTTGAGTGCTACCTTGCCTACATAACAAGGCGCGCTGCTAGCCGATGTACAAGTTATTGTTTTCGTACTTTCATGTTTTCGGCTCGCATAAAACGGACGCGATTCGAGCCGGGATTCGGACGGTACTCAATGATGCCCTGTGTATGGAGATGCCGCTGCACAACCTTCGACCGACTTGACAAAGCTCAATGGAAAGAATTCATGATTTTTCAGGTAAATTAAAGCGATTGATCTAGGATTATGTGAGGGAAGTAAAAATTTTCCCCTGGCAGAAGATGAAGAAATAGAAAGAAAATCAAAAGGTTTTTTGTTGTATGCGCCTTGCAATGTGCGGTGGAGGCTAACGTGTAACAAGGGAAGGATACCAGGTCGAAGTGGCCATTCGTAACGAGACATTCACCATTAGATGTATTTTTGAACAGTGATCTCGAATCTACCTTCAAGTCTGCGGAACGATTCTCTGAACGTAGTTATGAAGCGAGATAGTGCAGCGGCAGCGGGCCGGGCCCAATCAAGGTCGTGAGTTCAAGTTCTTGGCGAGTTCTACTTTTGATTTTCTTAGGAAAGTTGTTTGAAGGACTCTTATAGTTGCTAAGTCCTCAGCGACTGCCTATATCACAACTGGGAAGAGCTGGCGATGAACTTCGAACACTGTGCGCGTCATTTGCAAATAACCGCCCTTGGCACCCGTAGCGCACGCGTCAGGCAATTTCGGGCCAAACAGAGGTGACATTCGTGTTCGACGCGTATACCCCTTTCAACAACTTTCGGTCTAAATCTAAAATTTTGACTTGAAGTCGAAAATGTGAGCAGTCATCCATCCATCAACCCCATTATCAGAGCCTGATTATGGGATGGAACTGGACTTTCAATCATTGTTGCGAAAGAGATATGCGTGTATGCTTCACTTGCTCGCGCCATCCGAAGAATTCTAAGGCTTTTTTCAAGTACACTCTTATTGCCGTTTATGGCAGGATAACACGAGGGTAGTGGCCAGGACTAGGGGTAGCACCAACGACTGATTGTTAACCAAGTTTCGATTAGGTCCAAATGTAAGCATTCGAGAAGTAAGCCTTCAAAAAGAATTTGGTCCGTTGAGCAAGCATCTCTCATTTGTTCAGCCCATCATCGGAGATACGTCACCTTCCGTGGCGTAGAAACATCTCGACGGTGGTTGGAAACATTACGGAAAGAATATGAAGCAGACTCCGCTGAACACGTGATAGCTTTGGACGCAGTGTAAATTTCACCACTGAATGATTTTTCATACTCAAAAGAGATCTAATTACAAAGAGCAAAAACTTTGCACGCAGCAAGATATCATCCATGCTCTTACCACTGCAAGCCGCCAACACTACCGCGGCCAAGGCGTCGCCGTGAGCCTGTGTCTACTGGAGTCCCTTTCAGTGGGCTCGAATTGAACAACCCCTGTGACTCTTTTCAGGGAGTCGTTCCGCAAATTTGGAGAGCGGACTCGTGATTAGCGTCCGAAAACACATCCCTTAGTATAGGTTTCATTACGGATGGCCACTTCGACTTGGTATCCGTCCCTTGTAAGAGCCATGTGAATTCTTTTCCCAGGGGGAGGGAGCGGAAGCGTCGAAATGACGAACAGAAGGGAGCATAAATGTAGGGTAGGAGCCATGAACTGGTAATTTAGCAACCTAATCATTTCTTCTACTCAAGAGCAGAATTAGGTTGAACATGATTACACACTTTGAAAAAAAAGAAAAAGGAAATTGAACCTTACTGCAGAAGGATGTTGCGCTACGGTACAAACAAATCGGAAATTGCTTCTGATTGTTTTGTACATGAAGCTGTTTAATATCGCTAAGATATAAACACTGCTTCGTAACATGTAATACATGAATATTCAAACCTTATCAACATCCGATAAAGTTGCTTTGACTCAGTCAATTAGGTGTGGAGTCAGCATCGCGAACTCTGAGTTTTCGCACTCAATTGGCTTCGCACGTAGGAACGGGGCATCCCTAATTACGTGCTAAGAAACAGAAATCGCACCACTTTTCACTCACCCAGAAATTGCTCCCACTCTTGATATAGAGAGCTGCAGGTAAGGGGTTAGAGATGAGGTGGATGAATTTCTAGTGTTCATTGTATTTTATTACTTGATGTTTCTTAAGAGAGCGCTTCACATCAGATCTGCGAAAGCAGCCGGCGAAAGCAGGTTTGTTGTCATTATACGCCGTAGAAGATTTGCGAACTTCAGGACGAAAAAACATAGGTGGAGACCGCGAGGCCACTGATGGCTGCAGCCCTTTCAAAACCAGGTGGATCACAATGGAAAAGCGCTCTCAACAAGATTTCAAAATACATTAAAAACTTCAACACATGTGTCCGCATCTCTTGTCATAAAAGGCCAACCAAGCTCTGCGATATGGCTAGGATGTACCTCATACAACCAAACAATTTGATCCAGTTGGCTACGGAACAACGCTGCGACATCCGACTCATTACACCTCTTGCCTGTCAGAACAACATTCCCCACCTTCATTGATCTCAACCCCGGAGTCTAAGCAACTGTACTGAAAAGGCACACATTTTAGAGGGCAGTGGAGTGTGGACTGCAATGCTTTCATTTCGATGACATTCTTCCAGCCGATCCATTTGCATTTAAAATGATGGTCGAAAAAATAAAAACTTTCTATAAAACCTAATTTTTTTTACAGATAAACCTGTTTTGTTTCACCTGCATCATGCTTCAGAGACATGTCCACGAAATGCTTACAATCAGAATACAGATTTGAGCGTTGTACGGCATCCAACAGTGATCCTTCACAGAATATCTTCTTTTTCATCGCGAAGACAAGAAGCTCGCTTTTCGACGAGGAGAACCCTGAACAATCCGAGAATCTTATTGCAGTTTTTTTTTCATATTTCATTCCATTATCCCTACTATATACAGGGTGGGCCAAAAAAATACATTGCCCAGGCCGCACTTTGGCCTTCCTTTCTTCGCAGAGATTGCCGTCGTTGACGGAAATTCCCCATCAAAATATTCCCTAAATGTCCCCCTATAAGAACAAGCAAGAACTCCTTCACTACCCTCACCGCCTTCAGAATATGACGTCATCTGTTACCGTCGTCGAGCAAAGAGGCCTACAGTAACTGCTTCAGCCTGAAGCTCTCACCTAATTTATTGAATCGATTCAAAGTGGGATCGTTTCCTAGGGACATTAGCTCTAACTATGCAAACCCCTCGGAACCCGCTCTTCGGAACCCGTCGTAACGGTACACGATGAGAACCCCACTGAGCTCGACCAGAGCACCATGTTTCTGGGGCAAACTTTTCTAATACCCTCCATGTAGATGGCCACTATTAAAATTTTCTCGTAATGAAATGCGCTCTTTAATTCTAGTTGGGAACACACGCTTTGAGCTGAGCAGTGTGATAAAATCCATCTAACTGTGAGTCTGTCGATAAAATTTCTTTTTTTTTATTGCCCCCCCCCCTGTATAATGCGCTATGTCTGCCCATCCGTCTGTCACGAATTCGGTACTAAGCGAACGATAACCTACAGGGTCCGGGTCAAGTTGGGATGGGTGCACCTTATCTCAGAAAGAAAGAAACATAAACACGGAAAAGTGGATAGAGGTTGGGGGAGGGAAGGAGGCGAGCTGCCGGTGGCGGGCGGGGCATGCGTTAAGGTGGGCGGAGTTTGCCACGAAACTTCATAACTCGGTTCCAAGAAGTTCCGGAAAAGGGAGAAAAGTAGGTGGAGGTTGGGGAAGAGGTGAATGTCAACTGCTATCGGTGGGCGAGGCGTGCATCAAAATGGGCGGGGTTTGCCACGAAGATATATAGCTCGATTGCGCTCCCTACAAAACCTCATAATTCGGCTCCGAGATGACTTAGAGATCGGAAGAAAAGTGTGAGGAGGTTAGAAGAGGAGGGGAGCTCGAGTGTAAACGCTGGGCGTGGCATACCCCGTAGTGGGCGGAGTTTGCCACCACTCTTATAAGTCGGTTCCTAGAAGTCCCAGCGACCGGAAAAAATTTGATATGGGTTCACGGAGGGAAGGGGGTCAAACGCTATTGGTGGGCTGAGCATGCAGTATTGGGCGGGGTTTGCCACGAAAATTCATGACTTATTGCGCTCCCTAAAAACCTCATAATTCGGCTCCTAGATGACTTAGGGACCGAAAGAAAAGTGTGAGGAGGTTAGAATAGTAGGAGAGATCAAATGTAAGCGCTGGGCGTGGCGTACAATAAAATTAGCGAAGTTTACAATCAGGCTTACAACTCGGTTCCAAGAATTCCCGGTCTTAGAACCGAGTCATCAGCCTGATAGAAAGTGGATAGAGGACAGCGAAGGAAATGAAGCAACTACTGTTAGTGGGCGGGGCATACACAAAATGGGCGGAGTTATCCTCGAAACATTAGAACTCGGTCCCAAGGAGTTCTGGAGATCGGGAAAAAAGTGGATCGAGTCGTAACGGAACAGAGGTCAATTGCAATCAGCGGGTGGAGCGTGGGCCAGTGTGGGCGGAGTTTGCGCCGAACTCAAAATTCGAGTTTAGGAAGTCCTGGAGACCGGGAAAAAGTGGAAAGAGGTCGGCGAAGGAAGCGAAGGTCACCGTTATCAGTGGGCAGGGCATGCACCAAAGTTGGCGGAGTTATCCACGAAACATCATAACTCGGTCCCAAGGAGTCCAGGAGATCTGGAAAAAAAGGGATAGAGGTCAGCGAAGTGGGGGAAGTTAGCTGCTATAGGTAGGCGCGGCGTGCACAAAAGTGGGCGGAGTTTTCGTCGTAATTATAAGTCGGTCTCAAAGAGTTCTCGAGACCGAGGGAAAGAGTGGACATGGGCCAGCGAAGGGAAAGCAGTTAACTGCTATTGGTGAACGGGGCATGCAGCAATGTAGGTGGTATCTACAAAACGACGCAGCTCGATTCCAGGATGTCCTGGAGGCCGGGAAAACAGTGGATGGTTTCTGGCAAGGAAAGAGAGGTCAACAATTATAGGCGGGTGGAGCATGCACCAATGTGGGCGGAGTCCAGGAAGTCCTGGAGACCGGGGAAAAGTTGTCAGGGTCCGGCAACGGAAGGGAGGTCAACACTATTGGTGGGCGGAACATGCTCCAGTGTGGGTGGGGTTATCGACGAAACATTGTGACTCAGTCCTAAGATGTCCCGGAGACCGTAAAAAAAAAGGCAGAAAAAGAATGACAACGAAAGGGAGGTTAGAAGGGTGGGTGGGAGCTCGGAAGGAGGTCGGGAACTTGGCCAGGAAAGCCTTACAAAAAATTTGATGGCCCTGCTTGAATGCTACTGCAGTCCCGTGTGATGCACGCGAATGCGTGCGCAGTCGAACTGGTACATATATGATGCGCTATGGGTGCGTATGTATATGTCACGAAATTCGGTATTACCTCAATACCCTGGAGGGGCCAGATCAAATTTGGGTTAATGGTAATGTAATGGGTAAAGAAGCACAAAACACACATCAGTTGGGTGTAGCCCTACCCATAGTGGGCGGAGCACGCACTGAGCAAGCCGTGCCGACGACAAAAATTTCAAATTCGTTTCCAGAACAGTCTGAAGATCGTGATAAGGAGGTTGAAGATGTGTATCGTGTTGGTGGGTCTAAGAAGGAATAACAATCCGTGGTGGGCGGCACACTTCAATGAGCTCGGTTTAAGAACGAACTCGTAACTCGATTACGAGTCTGTCAAACGGGAAATCGACGACACTCCCCACGGAGTAACCTGTGCCTAACCAAATTCGTATTCACAGACAACTAGACTTGCCATAGAGGGATGAATCCATTAATATGAAAAAACCTTTCATTCTACACGCTCTCGAGGGATTTATGACGGGGCGAGGTTCGCGACGGCCCTTTTCCGTCTTATATTTTGACTGGACCCAATGGCGCAGTTTGAAGAATGAGCCGCGCTTCTTCTTCAAGCGCAAATTTGCCGGCGGTAACGTCATGGTTAGAGCCACCCACTCTGGCCTAGGTGAGAGTCAAACCGTGTCAAACTTCGAACTCAATTCACTACAGGACGAATACTAGAACGACTCATCCCCATACAAGTTGCGAATTCCATCAGCGCACTTTTAACTTCAACAGAATGTCTTTCGGATGAGTGCTCCAAGGCGAAGGCATGTCTCAAAGAACAAATTGTTGCTCATTGCATCCATATAAGGGGCTCGAAAGAGGCTACCAATGGAACAGGCTTGCGAATTTTCCACAGGATGACAAAGCGGATGTCGAAGTTATTAAAAGGAGAAGAAACGTTGCAGGTTTACAATTTTTACTGCAGCTGTTGATTTTGACAACTGTAAGGTGAGAGACTCTGAATGCTCAACTCCCATTCTTTTGGAATGCCATTTCAGAATAAAAGTGTGCGTAGGTTTTCTTGATCTGTTATTTCAACATAGCTCTCATGAAGGACTGCCACTAAAAATTTAGAAAACCATAGATTTTTTGCTATTCAAAAGTCAGTGCGTGCTTGAAGAAAAGTTATGATAATCAGTGAATTCCCTATGCCAAAAAAACTAGGTAGCCTTTTCTAAACACGTCTCAACTTTGAAGACATCCTTGGAGAAATTTCCCTCGCGAAAGGGGTTAAGCGCTTCTAAAGTAAGGTCACGATAAATCCTATGGGAACGATAAGGAAAGTTACGTGAATTGGGTAGGAGTCCTACCCAATGAGACGATAGGTGACGCTTCAGCAATATTGGCGCCTCATCAACGACGTAAGCAAACCAGCCCTTTTGGCGCTTCGGCTGGGACCGTATGCTGAATGTTGGGGAGGGGATGGAGTCCCCGACGGTGGACGGACCACTTCAACTCGATCCCCGAACCGCCACAATTTGGTGCCTACCTCAGAACTAAGCTTCAAAGAAAGGACGGGTCCGTCCCCTCTCCAAGGCTTGGTCCTGGGGTGAGCCAACCAGCCTTCTGGCGGAACTGCTGGACCAGCTGCACCACTTGGGTCAGTACTCTCCTCAACCGAGTTGATAAACCGTCGACAGTTGGGGACCCCATCCCCACCCCAACATTCAGCATACGGTCCCAGCCAAAACGCCAAAAGGGCTGGTTTGCTTACCTCCTCATCAACGGCGTGATAAGGCGCCAAAATTCTTTACCGATAAGCAGCTACACTTACGTAGCAGACGTAAGAGGGGTTCCAATGGTAGCGTACTAGATATGATAGCGTTATTGTCTGATTATCATTCTAGAGGGCAACTCATTTACATCCGTATCTTCTTATCTTCTTATGGTGCCGTGTTTTCCATGGGGTTACGCTCGTCAAACCATTATCTATCTCAGATCCTATCGGTTGACAACTCGTATTAAGCAGCTCCAACTGGAGGCCAGCGTGATCAGTTCCTGCAAGCGGGAGGGGGGGGGGGAATGAGTAAAACATTACTCTCTAAATTTTTACCAGTGATACCTAGGCTAGGCTGATAATGGTATTCACAATTCCTTGAAGATTTACTCAATAAAATTGTGATTTCAGTGGCAGATGGAATCATCCTTAGGCTACTACGAGCAAATTAGAGGTGTCCTAATATGAGGTGGCCTGATCTCACGAGGAGAATTGCAACGCACCCCCTGGACCTTTGTCGTCCGATCACTCCCTTTTCAGCCACTCCATCATTGCCTGAGAAAAAAGTTTGACACATGGAATCTTTTCAGAGATAAAATCTGTAACTATGCAAAACATCTTGTGCAGACGCATCCCTCTTCGTGATGTCCCACGTAAACAAATTGGCACAAAGGAAGCTATAGGGCATATACAATGAAAGAGAAGTCTAGGCAGGTGCCGAAGGACAAATTAGTCGCCTATTAGTTTTCAAGAGTCTAGATTTTAGAAAAGAAAGACAAGCAAATTGCACCTCTATAACAAATGCCCATGGTACGTAACTGGCG